TGTTCATTGTTCAACTAAAAGTCGAGAAATAGGTAAAAAAAGATATGAAGGATTCTTATATTTTGTAGCTCATTGAGAACTAGCATTAAGAAATTTATAAGTCTTGTAATATTTGTACTTTTTGAACTTAAAATTTTATTTCCAAATCTATCTCCAGAAATAGTTACAGCTCTGTGAGATCAATGAATTTTTAAATATAAACTCTTGTTTATTGCTAATGTTTTATTACAAAAAGATAATTGAATTATTGGAAATGTGAGAAAGAAGTGTTTTGTTTGTTTTATTTTTTTATTTTTATTTATTCTGATTTTATAATTAACTCATTGGCGCATTGCTCTCTCTCTATAACCATTATGGAAATACAGAATTCATCTAATCATTTTGCTCACCATTACTAAGCTCCTAACAAGCTGACAATCCTATGAATATCCAAAAATTTCCTGAGTGATATATTTCTACAAATAAATGGCTATCATCCTACCTCTCCATTAAGATGTTCAGCATGTATGTTCAGTCTTTAACCATACTGTATCCCTAATCTGGAGAGTGGCAGGTCCTTCTTTCCTAATGACCATCAGTATTGTGCAGAGAGGTCTCCTGTAATACTTAAATGCTGCTCTCTTTCAAGCACCAACTTCTCTGCTTGCCCTGATCTAAAAGCAAAATATGGCCTCAATTGGTGAGGTAGCCTCCTTTTTGCTAATGTCCTTGATTGTTTGATAGTGTCTCCTTACAATTCCATTACCACTAAAAACAATGTTTGACATTCTCTCCATCAAGCATCTTTACAACAATTCTGAACAAAAGACAGTGTTATCCATTATCACTTCATTGACTGGACCCTTTCCAAAAATATCCTGTTCATCAGACCTGTAATTTCAACTGCAGTCTTTGTCCAAATCTCTCTTCATATGTCTACTCTTCTGGGTCCACAGCCAATCTTTTCCACCTTTTCATACACACTCAGCACAGAGTTAACTTCAACTAATAAACAAGTTCCTTAGTTATCTCCAGATCAACTTTCCTGGCATCAAATAGTCCTATCTAACTTCCCAAATGATACATGCTTTCTTTAAATCCAATTTTCCTGAACAGTAAACTGTGGCAGCTCAAGTCATATTTTTCTCATTCTGGTGAGAGCATCTGTTTTATTCTTCTCTGAAGGCAAAAACATTCCAGGCAGCTTTTGGTTAAATTCAGTAATCAGCTCTCCTAGGCTTCTCAGATATTATTTACTCCTCTTTGCTGCTGCTTTTGTTCAAACTCTTTTTAGAGTAATCACTGATTTCACCCATCCAAGCATGGTGGCTGAATCAGTTTCGATTTTGATGTCATAAATCTGCATCATAAAACTAAATTATCTCCTTCAACATCTAATTTGAATACGTTAATATGATGACAATCATTTTTTTTTCCTTCCTTCTCAGCTAGGGTGCAGCTTCCATCTTAATACCATCTATCCCTAAATCAATGCCTATCACCACATTACTAAGAGCAGACCATAACTCCTTTTTTTCTGATTTAGACACATATCTGCTTCTTCTCACTGGATTATCCTTTTGTCCTTTCTGCAATATTATCATAGTAACTATTCATTCTTCTATTTCATCTGCCCAGCTCACTTAAACTTTTCTCTAAACACTTACAGTTCAAAGCCATCCAACAATAGGAGAGAAAAAAAAAGACAAACTTGTTCATTTTGCCTGAGCTACTCATCCTTCTATTAGTTCCAGCAGTTTTGAATTCAACCCCAATTTTTTTAAGACATAGCAAATATTATAAGCCAATGCAAGTAATGATGGTGAATTCTAAAATAGGTAAAATAACACATTGTTTTTTAAAAAATAAGTTATTTTTTATTTAAGTTATATAAAAAAATATTGTCAAAGAATAAGTTACATATTCAGTAGGTTTGTTCAAAATGAATGACAATCTCATCTATATATATATATATATATATATATATATATATATATATATATATATATATATATATATCTCATTGACTGAAATTAAACCCCAAAACAGTTTATGATTATTACCTCACCTGTTGTTACCATTGTTTTGTCCACCAATATGTCATTTATGTAGGAGTCGCAGCCTTTTTCTCTCTGTCTTTCCTAATTATCAACGTGTTATATTTTTGGTGCAGAATTTACTTCAGATCCTGACCTAGTTAAAGTCGTTCTGCTCCTGTAATTCACCAGCTGGTATTTCCACGGTTTCTCTGCCACACGAAACTAGTTAGGCTGATTTCAAATCAACAACTGTTAAAGACCCTGTCATTTGTCTCCACTCTTGTTGGGCTTCTCTGGATATATCTGTGATGTCTCCTGAATGACTTGCTATGAAGCTCTTTGATTCTTGAAAGTCGTGCACTGGCTGGATTTAATTTTCTGATGATTGGACTGCAACCATCAATAGTATCAACCCACCATTCTCTTCAGGGAATGAAAATATCTTCAATTCACCGCTTTTGCAAATTTGACTTTCTCTGCAATTTCACCCACCTGGAAGGATGCTTATAATAGATCAACTTCTTCAACATCTAGAATTATTCAACTGTCCTGCTTGGTAAAAATACCTGCACTGAAATCCTTGACTTCAATTTTACCAAAAGCAAGAACAATTATCCCTCTCCCCTTCTGTATGGCTTACTTAACAAATTCATGTTCCTCACTCTTGTGGTTACCAGCACATTGCTGTAGCTCTGTTCAGTCCTTGTTGACCAGTTAGAATCATTCCCATTGTTACCATCAACTGTTTTCATTCCTGCTATTCATCCCACTATACTGGGGCCTTTACACTCTTTCTCTTTCATTAACTATTATGTCGTTGCTCATTTCACTCCAGCTGTTCACCAGCTTTAGAATAATCAAGGTAGTCTTGCAATCTGTCTGTATCAAGGGCTCTTGCCTCCCCCTCCTCACTATGGCAATAATGGAGCCCCTTTCTGGCAATAATGGAGCACCTTTCTGGCTGTATGACTTGACCTGTTATGTCAGTATCAAATAAAGCTTGGGCTCTTTGCAGTCCTTAGTCTCTCACATCTAAAACACTGTCCTTTTAATGAGCAGTTATTTTTCTTTTCTCTCTCTTGCTTGCTATTTCAGGATGGTCATGTTCTTACTCTAGATTCTCTTGTGGCCACAGCTCCAAGACTTTGGGTTCTGTAACATGTCAACAAATCTTTCCTAGACTATGCCCACTGACTACTGCAGTCCCCATCAAAATGTGATCAGAGAAATCAGTCATAAGTGTTTAGGCAAAAAATATGTGCTTAACCACTTTTTCTAGTTTCTTTCCAGTAAATGTGAACAAATCTTATTAGTACCTGTTCCCAAGTTCATTTCTTCTTCAACTTACTATGTCTGTAAAAGCCTTTGTCAGTCTAATCTGACCCATACTTAACTGAATAACTTTGTTGATTTCCTAATATAAAATACTTAATGGTTAGTAGGATCACTACAATTTCACTCTTTAGCAATGTCTCCTTCATCACTAAATTGTTTCATTATCTCACTACTAATCCTCAACTCTACCAGGTTCTAGTACTCATGTTAAATAGGAAGAGAAAACAAATCTTAACTAATATCTCTATTCTTCCTACCAAACATACACAAAGAATAAACAAAAGGAGTTTTCTAAACAAAGACATTTGATCATTAGAAAAATCTCTATCATATATGGAAAAAAAAAAAAAATTGGATAAAATTCTGTTAATTATTTGTATAAATTGTATAGAATCAAGTATGTGTGTTTGAAGTTGTTGACAATGCGATGTCTAACAATTTTTATGTTCCGTACCCCTTGATTTTTTTTCTTTGGAAATTAGTTAATAATTGGATTTCAATAAAACTTTCTGTGGTTATTTTGTCATTGATAAAGATTTCTTTGTAAGCCAATTTTTTATGCGCATTATTATTATTGTACACAAGTTTGCCTGGACTAGTGTTCTTATCTCACTGTCAAGTTCAGTATAAAACTAGCATCATCATATCAAATTAACTAGAAATACTTAACTGAAAACAAGATGTAATGGAATGTGAACAATCTAACCACTGGATTGAATAAAGAATTTTATTCAAAAGTCTCAGGTTAACAACTAGACAAATACTTGAAAAAGGGTACAATGGCCAAAACATGCAAGCAATCAGTATCTAATAATTTATAAAAAAAAACATTTTCTTTAATATAAATGCCTTTTCTTTAATTTCATGAAATAATTAGCTCATTTAAAAAAAAAATGCCAGAAAAATAAGTTGATTGGAGAGTGAGTGGGGAGAAGTAACCCTCTCAATTTGAACATAAGACATTTGTTATTTAAATTTATATTCAGCCTTGCATGTAAAAAGAAAAATGTGCATATTAAAAATATCTTCAAAGATAATTTATTTAAATATCTGAAGTTTCATTTGAATTTGTTTTATTCTTTCCCATTATATCCTGGAGCTAGATGTTCTTAAGTATCTTCTAAGAAGATATTTCTTGAAGTAATTCAATGTAAAGATTGTCATCAAAATGAAAGCTTTCATTTTAGGTGCTCCTTTCACAATATAGTTTCCACAAGAAACATTTATTTTTCCAATATTTCTATAATTGTTTTTAAAAACTTTTATAGTTGTTGAATATGAACAACTGAACATATAGTATTAACAGCAGGGAATGTGTAAGTTTTTTTGGGTTTTTTTTTACCTACTGAATATGTAACTTACTAATTCTTTGCAAGTATTACTATTTTTTCTCTTTGTGTATAACTTAAGAGAACAATAATATATTAAAAAAAGATTACCTATTCTAGAATTCACTTTGTCCATGAATGTGCTCTGAAAATTTAGGCTATTTTGCTAAAAAGTAAGACGTTATTTGTATTGGCTTAATATCCTCTATGCCTTTTATCAAAGCTTTTAGCATTTGTCTTCTGTAAATAACTATATTGAAAAAAAAATCAAGTCTTCATGTAAAGGGATTTTTATATTAAAGCTATTTTCTTTTCACAGGATTTTGAATTAAAGTGGAAACAGAATCAGAAGAGGATTTTATTTTATAATAACAGACATTTTCTAAGAGTGGAAATTTTACAGATATCGTCTTGGATATTTGTAACGGATTTTATCCTAAAGAACTGAAATCACCTTAGAAGCCTGACTAAATTTGCAAATTTATTTGCTTTCTTACTGTTAAAGAGTTGAACTCTTTCTATTTATTTATTTCCATTATTATTTTTATTTTTATTTTTTTATCAACATTGTGACCTCAAGTTACAGATTGAAGAAAACTTTATGTAATGGTCAAGTGTTCACATGAAATCCTTTCCAGTTTAAGGAAATAAGCAGACAACTTTAGCTTTATAAGTACTGATGGCTTAAAGAAGCTTCAAAAAAAAAAAAAAAACATTTTCAAAAAAAAATTAAAGCAAATTTCTTCATTTGACTACATCTTTGTTCACCATGTCGGAGACGGCACAACCAGAAGTATCAGAAAGTGACAATTCTGTTGAGAAAAGTGACACTGAAGAAAAATTAGATGAAGTTCAAGTAAAAAAAGAATTAGAAGATGATGATATGAATGAAGAAGAAGAAGAAGATGAAGAAGAAGAAGAAAATTCTGAATTGACAGGACAGCAAAACTGCTCCTCGAAAAGTGATCTCTCTAACCAACCTCTGGAGAATGCAGACGGCGATGATGCATCTATGTCTGTTATGTCGACCGAAGAAATCAAGTCTCAAGAAGATTCCAAAGAAGATTCTAACCTTTCTGCCAAAAAGGATAGCATCAGTCCGTCAGCCCTGCTCGACGACAATGCTACCACCCATTCAGATAATACCGAAACAGAAACTAACGAAACCGGTCCAGTACGCAGTGCATCACCAGATGCCCACTCGGACTCGGAGAGTAAACAGTCATTTTTTGAAAAAATTGGGCTTCTTGGAGAAGGCATGAAAATGAAGAAAAGTTCAGAAACACTTGACAAGAATGTGATGCATCGTGAGTATGGCATGTACGATGAAAGTGCTTTTCCTGCTGTTGATCTGGACGAGAATGGCTTGCCTATCAATGCAGATGACATGAATGAAGAAGATCGTGAAAAGAGAGAAAAGAAATTAAAATTTGTTAAAGAGATCAGTGCCCTGAGACGTATGTTGTTAACAAAGGGTTTTATACGTGGCTCAAAATGGCGCCCAACTCCAAGCTACATTAAACAACGTGATATTGCAATGAGTGGTAAGAAGGGCTTTGGAGCCTTCTCACTGGATCGAGAAATGTCGGATGAATCCACTCCAGATTCCAGTATGGATGGCTCACCATCTCGGACTATTTACCGTCAGGATGGTAGTGCTTCAGCTAGAATCTACCATCTAGATGGCAATCCTTCAGCAACTATTTATCGTCCAGATGGGAGCCCGTCAGCCAATATCTATTGTCAGGATGGTGGTACTTCTGCTACCATCTACCGGAAAGGTGTATCCAGAAAACGAGGTCCTGTCAAAGAGATGATGAAAAGATGTCGGCCTTGTAAAGTTGGTTTGACAGACTTTTTCAAAGAACTTGACATTGATGTTTCTGAACTTTCCAAAGACTTTCCTCTTGTGAAGCGTATAAAAGTTATTGACTACAATTCTCAGGCAAACAACCCTCCCAGCGTTGAGCAGGATAGCTATGAAGGCAGTTTCCTTAGTTTCATCTCCAATCAGTCTGATTCTAAAAGTCCTGGTAAAAATTTCAAGCGGACATCCTACTCGAAGCAGTGGACTGAGGGTAACGAGAATCGAACAGTTACAGTCTCCAAGTTACACTGCAATTCCAGTACACCAACATTAAAGTCATCAACTTCACCACCCCGTTTCAGCTGCGTTCACTGCCAGTATTCATGTCAAGAAAAAGAACTGATGACCGAGCACATTTATGCTCACATTACCACAAAAGTTTTCCGTTGTGGCATTTGTGGCTTGGATTTCACCACATTTGGGACAGCTGCAATCCACCACCAAGCTGTACACCAGTTTAGCCCACAAAAAATTGAAAAGACAGCTGAAATTGATGAAACTGAGCATTATCTGGAGATTCGTGAAAATTTATCTGATGATGAAAACAAGCAGCCATCTAATGAAACCAGCAAAGGTGAAGAAGCAGAAAACAAGTCCAATGACGATAACAGCTCGTCTGATGAGAAAAGTTCCAAATCCAGTCCAGTGTTCATCTCTGTGGTTGTTAATGGCAACAAGCAGGCAAACGACAAAAAAATTGTTGTGGAAGTTCCTGACCGATTTCAGTGCACTTACTGTAAATTCTCTACCGATCAGCGAGAAATAATGCAACAACACACAGCAGCTGAACACACAGGTGCTGTGCATTACACATGCACATTGTGTGATGGCCTTGTGCTTACATCCAAAGCCAACTTGCTGAGTCATTACAACACAGTCCACCCAGGAAAAACCATCAAATGTAGAAAGCTACCTGATTTCACCGACACGGAAGAGCCTCAGCATCCAGTAGAACCACCAACGAACCGATATAATCGGTATCGCAGCAATATCTATGGCAGAGGTGGCCTATTGACACAGGGAAGATTTGGGTTAGTATCTTTTTATTTTTATTTTTTTTCCAGTTCTATGTTTTTAAAACCAATAATTTCTTCATTTGAAAATTGCCAATGTCTTAACCTTATTTAATCGAGGATTCTTCTTAATGCCATGTCTCTTCATGATGTCAGTGATTGTGCCTCTCTGCACGTTCTTTTTTTTTCTTTAAATATCCAAGAATAGTCTTCCTAGACTGGTTGCCATCCCAGGTGAGAGAGCCAGTCTTTCTGACACTTTAACCTCTAGGTTGGCAGTCCACTCTTTGCATCAATAAACATTACATTACCTGCACATCCAATTTAAGTGTTAACTTCTTTTCATATGGAAGCTGATCTTTGCATTTGGGTCTCTTACTTGACCCTGTTAACTTTTCAGGCTTTTGAAGATTTGATGGTTACGACATTTGAAGTATTATTTTTATTACCTTACACCTTTATTTAAGGCAGGTCCCTTGATTTAAATTAGATGAATTTAGTCTTTTTTTTTTTTTTTTTTTTTTTTTTTTTTTTTTTTTTTAAGAGGTTATAGGTTACTTGTAAAATTAACATAGAAAGAAAATAGATAACTTATTAAAACTATTTTTCTTTACAAATTAAATGGTAATTTTTCTAGATTTAATGATTGACTTGATGGTATATTTTTGTTGTATAGATGAGTATAATATAGTTTAGCACTCCAATTTGTAGCATTTTTGTGCTTTTTCTTTTTTAAGTAAACCCAATTTAAGAGCCACCCAAGGTAGTCTGAGTGAAGTTGTTGTGTAGAGGAAATAAGTGCAGACTATAAGAGTGCATAGGGTAGATCGGTGACTGAGGTTAACATTGTAGTGATCAGGAAACCATCCTCTCATCTGTCTCTTCCACAACGTATTGGCTCTGGAGAAGAAGCTGTCCAAATGAAACTTTCTTACCAATAGAATATGAAGGGAACGTGAACAATTCAACTCTGTAATGATTTGAATTGGTGGGACTAAGGAATGTAGCTCATCTGGCTATTTGCCAGTTGAGAGGCTTGTGATGTTTCAGCTGTGTGGATGAATTTTAGGGTTGAAAAGAATTCAGTGCTAGCAAATTCACATAAACAATTTTGAACTTTGTAGAGGCTGGAAAGTGAAGATTTGGCAACTCCAGCACAGATATGGCAGTAATACGCCATTTTTGGTCTGATATGGCTCTTGTAAAAATAGGGCATGGCAGGTGAGGTTGGAGTGACACAAAACCCACTATTTATCCAACATCTTTAGTAATAGGTTGGATACGAATTCCACTTGAGAACTTGAATTCCAGTAGATGTTCAAGGCAAAGACCTTCATTAAAAGTACAACTGTTCATCATTACTTCATGTGTTGCTTGGTGATGATGAAACATTACTAGTTTGGTTTTGGTTGCATTGTATATCACAAATCAGTTCTTTCCTCACTAAGCTGTTACAGCTAGATCAGAGGAGAGATGAGCTGACAGGCTCTGATCATGTGCATTTTTGGAGGTGTATCCATAAACTTATATCATTTGAATAGATATTTACTAATGATCTGAGAAAGCTCCTGGGCAGATTGTTAATATAAAGCAGAAAAAAGGTAGGGACAAGTGCAGATACCTGCATTGATCTCCTGGGCTTCAGGAGACTAGCTATGAGCTTCATGTAGGAAGGACTTGATAGTTGCAAAGATTCTCCCAGAGATACCATAGCTGGAGAGTGTGTAGCAACACCTTATGCCACACCTTGTCAAAGCTCTAATGTGATCTCTCTCTATGAGTTTATTATCAATTGCTGTGTGGAATGACTGAGAACATCAGCATTAGGCCTAGAAGGGTGAAATTCAGAATGCTTGTTGCTCAGGCTGTTGTGATCAACCTTTTTATCTAACACTGTGCTATTTGGAAAGAAAAAACTTAATTAGATAAAGTTGAAACTACACATGCATATTAAAAAACGGATTTAACAAAACCAATTGAGAAACAAGAAATTTAAAGTAAAAAACAATTGTGTATGTAAATATTTTCCATGAAATCAAGTTTAAAAAAATATTAAAACTTGGGTTTCTAACTTTAATTTCTTTAAATTCAGTAAACTTGTTTTAATTAGGTTTATACAGTTTAAACTGATTCATTGGTATTACTAGAAATTGATTATTAAATCTTTAAATGTTAGCATAATCTTGCATTTTCTTCTCTCATTAACTGAATGAATGAATACAATCTATTGGAATTTATAGATTTTCTGGTTTTCATCCAAAATATCCAAAGTGTCCTTTTTAACCTTTATCACTGTATGTCACTTCATTTGCTGCATAAAAAAGTTTATTCTGCCACTGAAGGTGACTCTGATCCCTGAACAATGATTTTGAATTCCATAGTTGTCATATCCTGCTATGATAACAGAAAACAACTTTGAGTGAAATTAACAATAAGGTTACTGCAATTGAGACGTATGGAAAAAGAATGCAGTGGAAAGGGAAGTAATGTTAATAATGCAGAGTGCTAAAAGTTGAGCCTCTTCTCATCAACAATTATTTTCCTTTTTGCTCAGTTTTATTGAACATTGGCATTTTGTATCAAGTATGGGGAAAGAATCTTTTATTTTGACATGAAAATACTTTTTATTTAACTAAGAACTAAATACCAACTTTTCATTTAGTAGGAGTAATCAGAATAAGACATTAAGGAAATTTTGCAAAAAGTATTTGGAGGTTATCAGCATTCACAGAAATGCTTCAGTTGAGATTTCTTTCATCTTAACAAATGAAAATGATTTTAAATCAGTCTGGCTGGTTTAGTTCAGTTTTTGTGCAATCTATAATGTTCATTATAACATTCTTTTCTAATGAGAATAAATCTTATCTAAATAGCTTTAAACTTAACCTTTATGTAAATAACTCTTCAAAGAAAATGCATCTTCAATTCAATGATTGTTGATAAAACAAATTCTGAATATTTTTGTTTTCAATTAAACATCCTAAATGTAGAAAATGTTTTTAAAGGCAATTTCATCAAGCATAGGAATTAAATTGTTGTAGCACTTTAACAACTGTTGGAGATGCGGTGATTTGAAATAATGGGTGCTAAAGGAGTCGTTTTCCAGTTTGCATTTAAATACCATTGAGGTATAAAGAATATTGTTTCCTCATTTTAATGAGTTTCAAAGTTTTAAGTCTTTAATAACTTTTTGCTTTCAATCTTTCACTATAAAATTTTAAGGTGTCGAATCAAAAATGATTTTAGGTTGTCAGGTAAACAGTAAATTGTATCTTGTTATATATAAATCGTGTGAATTTTGCATCTAAATATCTCTCTCTCTCAAATACTTTTTCATTATCTGTAAATCATTCTTGTATATTCAACCTTTACATGCAACAAGATGCTTTCTAAGCAAACTGTTACCAAAACATTTGAGACAATCATTTATTTTTGCATTTTGATTAGTAGTGAAAAGCATGAATTCATTTTCTTTTTTCTTTCTCTCTCTTGAACTGCTTCCTTTCACAAAGTAGTAATACTTCATCTTGGTAAATTTTAGCTCTCAAAACTAACAATGTTGAATTTGCTTTTTAAATGTCATTTTGGGTTGCTTTTAACTGAACTGTATCCAGTCCTTTATAAACATGTGCTAAACTCTTATTTGTGTAAATACCAGACTGAGGCCATATTTAAATATTTTTAGATTCTAGAATTTCATTCAGCTGAAATTTATTTGACATGTATAAAATGCAATATTATACCTCAATTTGCTATAACATCATTTTTTTTTTTCCTTTCTCTCTACCAGTTCGACAGATGGCGTTAGTGCATCCGGTACTGATATGGGCTTAAAAATTGTTAATGTGGTCAGTCTTCACAGTGGTCGTCATTCTGGCCAGTCCCGACGTCCTGGTTCTGGTTCCAACAACAACTGTATCATACCACCAGAAGGCTTTATGGTTCCAGTTCTGCTGAATGCAAAAACTATGTCCCTGAAATATGCCAGTTCCAGTGCCAACCGCAAGTGTAAATATCCCGGAGATGACGACCCGCTCATCAGTCGCTCCATCTACATGTGCAAAAAATGTGGCTGCGAGGCTAAATTTCTGAGTCAGATGCAAGATCACATCATCAATTCTCATTCAGCCTTTTGCATGTACACCTGTGCATATTGTACATTTAAGGGCGAGAAAGAAGCCGATATCTACAAGCACATAAATATTGCTCACAGTGAATGTGATGGTGGTGTGCCTCTCTCTTTCTTCCTTGACCCTGTCTACATCACTAAGTACATTGCCAACATTGAGAAAAATCAGCAAACTCGCTACAAGGAAAAATTGGTAGGTAAACTCTCTCACTATAAGTGTCGTGTATGCAGTCAAGAATTTCCGGATGGCATTTCTCTGTACATGCACTCTTTTCGGGTGCATGATAAGAAATTGTCTTATCATTGTCCTTATTGTACTGAATACTGTTCAGATACATCTGACCCAATGCGGGATCATGTCTCCAGTGGCCATGGCAAGGACATTAGCAGTGAAGCTGTGTTTGCATTTATCTGTGATGGCAAACCCAACCGAGATGCAAACTCTATACTTTCTCCTGATTCCAGCTCTTCAGGTACTACACCAGTGTCAGTTCCATCAAAACCCCCTGAACCAAAATCATTTCGGAAAGACGACGATGTTGTCATTCTACCAAACAGCCCTTTAAAAGCTGCTGGTCAACAGCAGTCAGTGATAAGACCTTTCACACCACGTGGCCGGAGTCGAGGTCGCCCACCTCGCTCTCAAACCATTTTACTACGGAATATGTTGCAAGCAAGAGCAAATGCTTCTTCCTCTCCCAGTTCATCAGGCCCTCTCCAGCCCATGATGATTGTTGCCAATGCTGCTCATGAAGAAAACCAAGGCTCGCCTCCAATTGTCATTGATCATCCAGAACGCACACCGAAGCCCATGTCACTCACTGACAGCAGCACACCTGAGCCGACTGGTGATGGTACCTTGGATATGGACTGTGAGACTGTTGATGAAGATAACCCTGTTGACAGTGTTGTGGAAGAAGACTGCGATGCCAGTGTTGGAGAGGCAGCCACTGTTTCCAAATCCGTTCCACTCAGCTCATCACTGCACAGCAAAAGTTCCAAACGACAAACTGGCAGCACCACTTCACGCTCAGCCAGTCACCAGCTATCAGAGCTTGCTGCTCGTTCAGCTGCCGAACACTCTGCAGACATCATTCCAAGCCAACCGTTCCCACTAAAAGTTATCAAGAAGGAAAACGACATGTACCTAACTGCAGATACTTCTCTGCACAACGACCAAGTGGTACCCGTTTCTCTGCAAGCAGCACAGGGTGCGGTCCCTCTCGACCTCTCCTCTACAGGTGCTAACGAATCTGATGACATGCCACCTGATGCATTCAAAGTGTTCAATCTGAGCCCAGCAGCAAGCCAATTGGCTTCCTATCTCCCCACCACACCCAATACTTATTCAAGCCCTGTTCCAGTTGGACCCCCAATTCAGACTGCAGACTATTCCAGCTCTCATTCCCTTAGTAAAACGACTAGTTCCGAGGACAGGTATAACAAAGAGATCTACAGGTGTGATAAGTGCAACTTTAAGACAACGTATCGGGCAGCTTTAAAGACCCACCACACTTTTAGGCATTCACAAATCTACAAGTGTCCGTACTGTCCTGATACGGTTCCGTTGGATAGCTTTGAAGTTGAACCTCATATCAAACAACTTCATCCAGACGAGAAAATAGCATATATGCGGATATAATGGTTTATTTATTGTTTGTTTGATTTTTCCTTTTTCAAATTTCTAAACAAGCAAAGGAATTGAAAAGAATTTCTGAACTAACTTAGTGGCTATGTGACCAAATAAGACCTGTTTTGAATCTGTTCCTTTTTCAGTTGGCAGTAGACAGGACTTTGGTAACAAATACTAAGAAATATGAATAACTGACTTTTACTTCTTCCTTTCCTAGAATCAAACATTTTTGCCGCCACATATTTTGACTGGCATTAAAGTTGGTGGCTGAAACTTTGCCTATAAAAGTAGATCGGTCAGGACTGGATATGAAAAAGAAAAGAAAATAATCAGCCAGGAAGAAACTGTACTTCTATTTGAATTTATATTCCTTTGTCCACAATTTCAGGTATTAAGAGTTTTTTTTTTTTTTTTTTTTTTACTACTCAGTGAAGTACACTGAACTTCAAATATTGCCCACTAAATTTTGTTTAATGCAAAGAAGCTGAGTTCAACTTAGCCTTAGTTTGGCTTAGTTTTCTGATTCTTCTAAGTTTATTACAGAAAACTGCAAGAAACAAATTTGTCGTGGTAACACCTCCTTGTCTTGTTTCAGAGAGAAATCTGCTGGGAGATTGAAGCCACTTTAAAAAAAAAAAAAAAAATCTATGGCCAAAGTCAAATCTGCATAGAGCCTCCAGAAATCTTTGTACATTTGAGAACATAGAACTTGAATTTAAAAAAAAAAAAAAAATTAATACTTTTCATCAATTTTGAATTAGTATGGAAAAAGAATTGCTGCTTATTTTGTAAGTTAAACAAATGTAAAAATTTCAGACAGGAGATTCCCTTTCCTCTACAAATTATTGAAATATTTTTGCATATTTTTTACCATGACTACTAGAAAAGTTAATATAATTTGTAATCCATATCTAATTTAAAAAAAAAAAATGCTATGAAAAATAATCAACTTAAATCATTCCCTGCCTTCAAAAATAATTTTCTAGTTTTCTTTGATAAAACATCATTTGATTCATTTAATTTTTGTATTTTAGTTAATGGGAAATATTTTACCTTTCAATGTTTCCTATTGCCGTTTCAAACAGTAATTGTTGTGTTGGTGCAAACCAAAAGTCATAAATCTGGACCATTCCAATGTTTTTTTTGTTTTTTTTTTTAATAAAAACAACCCATCATTTGCTACAGATTTCTTGGGCCAGAAGATTACACAACATTATGGTGTATTGTTAATATAAGTTTATGCCAAATGAAAACAAATTGAAGGCTTATTTTAGAGGAATCAATTATATATGGCAATGAACATTTTAGAATCCCAATTTTGTTTGTGTAATAAAATTTTTGCTAACTTGATAAGAGTTCCTAATGCACATAGTTAATTGTATCTTTGTATGTGTGTAAAGTATTGTAAGTATCTACAGTTAAGGTCAATAAGTGCTAGTGTTTTCTTTTCTCCATTGTTATTTTTATGCTAATTCTTGTATATGGTCAGTTTCTTCCCAAATGTATTATTTTCCTATTTGATATTTAATCTTTTATTCTTGGTGAAGAGGCAAAATTATTCAGTTGCAAAGTCTTGAATTATTAATTTCCCCATTCTTCAAGTTTGTACATAGTGAACATAAAGCATTTGTTTGTTCAAGAATCTAGACGAATGGTTAATAAGTTTTTTTTTTTTTTTTTTTTTTTTTTCTCCCCCACTAACTACATGTCATAGAATCTTTTCTCTCATGGTAAGAGGGATTTATAAAAAAAGCTCTAAGCAAGATGCAAATTAATCCCTAACTATATAATGAAGATTCTAATAAAGAAAATACTTGCACGAAGGGTTGAGGGCAAAAAAAAAAAAAAAAAAAAAAAAGAGAGAAAAAGTTAGTCTCCTCTTCAACTCTGTGAATTTGAAGTATTTACCAGTGATCTTTCAACCTGCTCATTGTGGACATCAACTTTCAGGCAGATTTTTTTTTTTTTTTTTTCCTCCAATGCCTCAGGTAATTAGCATTATCTAAATGCTAACCTCTTCATCAATTTAGGCACAAATCAAATCTAAGGGGCAGAATACATTCTCTTTCCCAGCTTAGTCAACTCTTGTAATTTCATTTCACTTTACTCTCCATCAGCTGACAAGATGTAACCAGTGCCCAGAGTTGCTTCCCCCGGCTAGAATTTTTCCCTTCATGATTGCAGTCTCCTCTAAAAATAATCAACCTAGTTTAGTTGTTAACCTCTTGATTCTACCTCATTCTGTCTGTATGTCCATCTCCTGATCTACAACTGAAAAGGGACTTGACTCTTCCTAATTTTCATGAAAGTTTGACTTCAAAAAGAGAAACTTACTGTAAAAATGTTCTTTGTTCCTTCCATATGCTGCATCTCCATAAGCCCAAAATGACATAACCATTTCGTTTTATTCTTTTTATACAGGGCTCGGGTGGGGGGGCTCAGTGTGGTAGTTGTGACTGACTGGGGGTCGGTGTCCGTCCACACAGCATCCGTCTAGTGATCCACTTTGTCTATATTGCTGTGTTGGTTGGGGTGTGGGGTAGTTGATCTCTTATTGGCTTCTGGGGACATGACCTTACAGTAAGTAGTACAGAAAGATACATTCTATTATCAACCAAATAAAATCTTACCCGACTCTGCTCACATCTTCACTCTTTGTGCATGGATCCATGCATATGTAAACACACACGCATACACAAACAAACATACATGTATAGTTCACAACTACACACTTGTATTTCAGCACTAGCATTGTGTCATGCCATTATTACATTTCAATATTATCCATTTAAACATGAATAAAAGAAAGAAATATATTTATTTTCAACCTGTGATTATTTTTTTTTTAATTTCTACTTTTCTAATTGCAGCCTTACAAATATGAATGCATATTTACGCAGGTGGTGCATTTACTGGCAAATAATATTTAAAAATAACTGCAGTTCAGTTCCTGTTATTTAAAGTAAACCTCTTGCTGCCAACATCCTTAGCCAGCCATTTGAATAAATTCCAAAATAAAAAATAAGGCAATAATAGGCCAAAACAAGTATTTTATTTAAAAACAAAAGATTATCTATATTTGCCATGCCATATCCGGTCATATTTTGATAAATTAACTCTGCATCCAAAAATATTATTCTTGACACAATATTCAAATGTGAAAGGATTCACATTTCTCTCTGCTTTTCTTTTTTCCTCCTCTTGTTCTTCTTCCAACATTTGCTGACTAACAGCGCGAGCCGGAAATGGCAGAAGACCAGCTAAATTTGAAAGAAACCCTTCTACTTCAGCAAATTCACATTTGCCACCAAGTTCTATAATGATTCGTCCAGCCTTCAAAGGGTAGACATAATGATCAATAGCACCTTTTCCACCACCCATGCGATGACCCTGGCCTTTTTTAGTTTTTGGTTTCCATGGAGCATCAATCCGCCATAGAGCAAACATCCGGCTTTCATCAAATTTTCTAAGAATGCCTAAACGGAGCATTTCATAATGGCCCCAACGAAGACGGCCACCAGTTAAAGCCTGAAAAGAGGGAAAAAATGCAAAAAGTTAATTCATCTTGGTCACAAAATGATTGTAAATTTAAATCCATAATTGAATAGTTTCTCACCTGAATTCCAAATTCACAATATTGAAGTTTGTTGTGAACAAGCTCTGGTCCTCTCATTTCAATTGGCTTTCTTTGCATTTTTGGTGGGCGTTGGTTAGGTGGATACTGAGGAACTCTTTCAAACATTTTCAACCGCCTCCTCTCAGGAAGAACCACATCTGTTTAGAGTTAAAAATTCAACTTTAGTCTACTTTTCTTTTCCTTCTTTTTTTTTTTTTTTTTATTGGAAGTGAGATAGTCCAGCTAAAATCTACTTACACATGCACAAATTATACATTAAAGAGTTTAGATTCTAAGCAGAAATTCTTCACTCAGTATAAAGTGAGTATTTTTTCTCAAACATTCTATGAAAGCTTGTCACACAATTATAAAAAGATTAACAAAGAAGGCACTTGACAAATACATGTGACAATTTGAAAATTGTGTACCTTGTAAATAGTATGGCCATAACTCCCCAACTGCTATTTGATAACAAGTGTATTGTCAGTAACAATAAGAAAGATATATTTGTAAAATCTCCCCTGCCAAAAAAAAAAAAAAAAAACTTGTTTCAGTCACCACAAAACAGTAAGTTAACCCCCACCTTCAACATACATCATCCAAATGAGTCCAACCCACCTATTAAAAATTTGTATTTCCTCTTTCCTGATACATCTTTATGCTTTAAAAAGAGGGGAAAAAATGCTATTTTTTGTCTTAACACTGCTAATCTAAGTATGATTATATCCTTAATAATCCATATCTGTAGATAGTTAATGAGTATAAAATAATTTCAGGAATTCTTACTGGACATGTAGAGAATTAATCAAAAGGAGAGAAAATAATGTACACTGTAGTAATTATTCATTTATTAGTTAATTTAAAATTTTGTCACTTTCTAATGTTTGTGATAAAGTAAACCAGAGCATTTTAAATATGAATAGAAAGATTAATACTGTAGACTTAAATATCCTCTCAATAATACATTTAAATCTGTTGCAGAAATAAACCTAATAGTCTCAATTTATAAAACTGGGCTACTTGCTCCAAAACTGCTGAAGTGAGTAAATGCAATACTGATTTAAGGAATTTTGCTGACAGATTGCACCAGCATGTTAGTTACAGTATGAATTATTTTTACATTGTTTGTTTTTATACTTTGTAAAGTCTCCAAATTATTAATGCTTGATGAGTGGAGAGAGAGCGGAAAAAAAAAAAAATAAAAAATAACTGATCTTAGTGGTTCTACTAAAATTTTAATCTCAGAATTTTGAACTTAGCCCCACTAAACATGAAAAGGTTATTTTATATTGGTTAATACTTTACAGTCTGTGTTGCTTGTTGGCATCTCTGAAAAAATGCATGTAACTTTTTGTACTAACTGCCTGGAGACCAACTGATGAGATCATGTGTCTTGAAAAACCTAGTGTTTTGCCATCTTTAAACCTAATGTCTGTACACTTTTTTAGCATTTTTTTTTTTTAATCCTAAGCTAGGTTTTCTGAGAAGGAGGTCAGAGCCTAACACAAGAACCAATTCTTTCTAATTATCTTGATTTCACAGAAGTTAACAAGCACCACCCTTTTCTCTCTATACATGCTTGATTCCCATGTTACTGCCACACTTGTATTCTCTCCCTCCTGACAACACTTACAAAATTGGGCCAAACTCCTAAGTACTGACTCAGACAAATACCAACAAAGAGATGATCAGCATCAGAAATATGCTTCAAGGTAATAACTATTCTAAAAGCATAACAGCAGCATCCACGTGCGTGGACAGAAGAGTCAACGACAACAATCAATAATACATATAAGAGAAAAATATGAAAAGATACAAATCTGAAATCTACACAACATTGAGAGAGTATTCAAAAGCAGTTCAACCCTTTGGAGATATATTCCAAACCAATCCCCCTTGGAAGAGAACATGACCAAGAACTGTATGTCTCATGCAGTAGCAATAATATGAGGGCAAGACTGGCTTTCTCCTAAATGAAAAAGGGGTGGGCAGCCTGAAATGCTGTAGTCCAGGAAGTGTAATTAAAATCAGGCAGTGACGATTGTATATAAAGGAAAAAGTGGTGGTCATCAACCCCCTGTGGAATAAAGTCAACAGACAAAACAATTGAAGATAACTAAAACAAAAAAAAAATCTGTACACATTAGGCATTGACAACCTCCTCAATAGACCTAGCATAGAGGTAAGTACTATCTAGGAACCTCTGATTAAGAAAGAACACTCAAACTCTACAAATATTAGGTTTAAGGCTCAAAAATGTTTAAACTGGATTATCCAAGAGACACATGGATTGGTTAAAACCTGGCTGTTGTGAATTCTAATAGTGCTGGGAAAAAAAAAATCATTGACTCTACTATTTGTGTCATTCATTTCTTCTGCTGAGCCAAAGTAGACTGGAGAGTATTAAATTATGAGATGTCCTGTAAGCAGAGAACCACCTGCCTCCATAGATTGAATAAAGGATTTGGTTCAAAATTCTGCTGTAAGCAACAGACACCTGAAGAAAGCCAGAGGGTGTAATAGTTAAAATATTTTGAGTATAATTAGTCATAATATAAAACCGAATGAAAATTCTGCATGTCAAAAATTTTAAATTTCTGTTGAAGTCTTTTTTGAATTAATTAGGTTGATTTTGATTAGCAATTCTATAGGCAAATATTCACTTCAGCTAATCTTTTATCAAAATATTTTTTTAAAAAGTCCATAGAAATTTAAAATATTTACATTCAGGGTGCTGTCTTCATTTTTCAGCTTTTGTGCCCTCCGGCCTTTGTCAAGTGTCTGTCAATCTTAGATTAAATAAAGTGTTTAGTTAAATTTTCCTGAAAGTTACTCAGACCTGATAGATACATGAAGCATAATGGATGAAACATGATAATAAAGAATATTTTAGAATTATTTGTCCTTCATTTCTTTGGCTTTCAAAAGTTGATTAGTTAGGAAAGAAAGAAGAAAAAAAAGATTTATTTGTCATGAAATTGTTACTGAAGAGGATAAAACCAACTCATTCAAGGACAGTCAACACATACTGTCTCAGAAGAGACTCACAGAACAAAACCAAATGTGTTATGTGCTAGCATTAAGCTTATTTTACACTTGGATGAGAAGCACTGGCAATTTCTTCCAGTTAAATGCTCTTTTTAACCATGGTTAGAAGAGGATCCATTTGAAAGGAATTGACACACTTTTTCAGGATGACTAAGAATCTACAAATTTCACTATTGTATCTCTCCTCAATTGTCTCTGAGGCCCAGTAAAACAGCACCGACAGATTTAAACCAGTGAGAAAGTGGTGGTTGCAATAGTGAAAAAGGAAAGTGGCAGAGAGAAAAGTCAAACTTGCTCATATTATTTTTTTATTTTTTTTTTTTTGAGAAAGTGATCAAGTTATAGGTGTCAAAAATATGAGGAAAAGAGAGATTAATAATGAGTATAGTTAATTTGATATCAATTTAGTGGTTTAAAATATTTTAAAAAGTAGACAGTCAGATTGATAATCAGTGAACAGAAGAGAAAAGGCAGCAAACATTGATGACAACATATTTTGACACCTGATTTAGTATTGTAACAGATTATTCTTCAAGATTTTCACATCAGGTTCTTCAGAAAAAACAGACATCTGACAACTCTTTCTCACCCATGTAAAGATCTCACAGCTTTATAACAACAAAAAGATATTTCTGAATATAAACTCAGCATTACCAAATAACAGATTAAGCAATGGGTTGCCCAAAAGTTTATAATTCTGTTTTTCTTCTGAAATAGTATTTAGCAAGTGTTGAGTTTTAACAATTTTCATTCAAAAAGATCTATTTTAATTGTTATGACAACTGTCATATCAGATAAAAAGAGCAACATTTTCAACATGTGCTTCTTAGTTTAATAAAGTTGAGAATAATAATAAAAAAAAAAGATTTGTGCAATTTAAGGAGGTACTGTGCATGACTGAACATGTAAAAAATGGTTTGTGTAGAGTCCTGTGTGGAAGATAGTTTTGTTGAACAATGCTCTGTGGTTGACAGCAATCAAATTGAGATATTAAGAATAAGCAACATCATATAAACACTGGCATTAACAGACAGACTCAAAATATCCAAATCAATTAATAAGAATACATTTGTATCAATTTAATTATGTTAGTCACGTTTATGTATGACTTCCAGATGAGCAATAAATAAGTGTTTACATATTGTAATCACCATTTAAACCTGTTCTGTTTTTATAATAACTAGCAATGACCAATGAAATATTTTCCAATCTGGCATACAACAAATTACAGGACAAATAAGATGGACCACCAAGAACTGGAGCAAATTTATTCTTTTAAAGATGATGCGGTGCAGACATTACATGTCAATTCAGCTACCTCCAAAATTAACCCCCTACAATTTCATTCAACTTTACCATATTAGTGCATACACATACACACTCTCTCTATCTCTCTCTATATATATATATATATATATACACACACACACACACACAGATTGCAATGGGTAAATTGTCACCATTTTATACTTTTAATTTTGCACATGCACGTTGTTCATTTCTTTGTCGACTGCACAATATAGTAGGGTCAGTTGGGCACTGTCTGTAGAAAAAGAGCATCATGATGCAATTCACTCTGCCAGAAATTTAAAACGGCATGCTGTACTGCTTGGCTTTTGTGCCAGAAGCCCCAATACAAACATTTCAGAGTGGTTGGGTGTCAATATGAGGACAGTGCAGAGGATTCAAAAAGAGGTGGATAATATATCCAGTCAGCATCATGGTGTTTGGAGTGATCAATAGTGATTACAATGTTATGACTACAGTCATCTTCCCACAGGGCCTCAGATTCAACATGGAGACTTACATCAAGTGCCTTGAGTTCTGCTCCGAGTCAAGAGAATGGCTGCTGGATGAACCTATGTATGGCAACGGGACTCTGCACCGTATCAAACAAGCAGGAGAAACCAGTTGTGGCTGTCAAATAATTACTGCAAACACATCACTCTTGCCACCTAACTCCCCAGACTGCAACCTCCTTGACGTGTGGAGTGCAGTTGTACAAGAGTCCAACAAAACTTCTTATAGCTCCAAAGATGAACTGAAGGCAAGGATGATAGAAGCATTTTCCAACTTAAATAAGGAGACTGTCCAGAAGAGTTGCAGGAGA